TCATCAAGGTGTAGGAACCTAGGGTTCTCTTTGATTTTAGTAAAAAAATTTGTCTATACCACCAATCTTCCAAGTTTGTTTCTCCTCAAAAAGATATAGTCTATATTCTACCACGAAAGTCTGATAAGGGCTTTGTAACTTAGAAAATTTTTGTTTTTCCAAACAGTACAGTAACGGGAAAGACAAAATTAAAAATAATTTTTTGTAAAACTAATATAGAAATTTTTTACCTATAGGAAGTAAATAACAAAAAAGGATCTTATGTAGGGACTAAAACATCATTTATCCCAATTGAAAAACCTTAAAAAATACATTAAGATGAAAGAAAACCCTTTGAGAATGCTAAAACAATTTAGAGAAAGAAATTTTTATATTTTTTATTTTTTCTAAAAATAGGATAAACCTTTGAAAATCGTCTAAGGTGGTTTGGTCATGTGTAGAGAAGACATTTGAAGGCACCAATAGGAAGAGTAGATTGCATGACTCTTAGTCTAATAAAAAGGGATTGAGGGAAACTAAAAGAACTTCAGAAAAAGTTAGTTAAAGAGAGGCAAAATTACTCTTTTCGTCCCTTAACTTTAGGATAAAATTCACTTCAGTCCTTTATCTTCTTTTAGTTCATTTTAGTCCTCTAACTTTTAAAAAAGTGTCAAACAAGTCCTTTTCCATTAAAGACCCTAACTCCGTTAGAAAGTTTTGTTGTTTTGTGCCACGTGTATTATGTGTTACTATTCATCATTTTCTTTCTGAGATCTCCAGTCTGGTTTCTAGCAACTTTTCTTCTTCTTTCTCCCTTTCATCTTCATCTTCTTATACTCAAAACTCCATCTTCTTGCCACTAACAACAAGCACTCACTCCAAATTCCAAACCATAAATAAATCAACTTTCTAAATGCCCATTTTCAATCTTTGACGGTCTATGTTTATTTTTATATTATGTTTAAAGTTTTCTAGAATACAGTATTCTTGTTAATGAAGGTTTGAGAGGTCAAGGTAACATGAAAAATTAATAAAATGAAAAATAGGAATGTGTGTTCACATCTACCAGAGATGAAAAAATAGATATTAAAAAGTTAGGTTATTTATGGTTTAGGATTTGGGAGTGGGTGCTTAGTGTTAGTGGCAAGAAGATAAAATTTTGAATATAAGAGATAAAAATGAAAGGGAGAAGGAAGAAGAAAAGGTGCCAAAAACTAAATTGAAGATCCGAAGAAGAAGACTATGAATAGTAACACACAATACACGTGGCAGAAAACGACAAAACATTCTAACGGAGTTAGATCTTTAACGAAAAATGACCTGTTTGAAACTTTTTTACAAATTAAAGGACTAAAATGAACAAAAAAAAAGTTAGAGAACGAAAGTAAATTTTACTCTAAAGTTAAGAAAAGAAAAAGAATAATTTGTATTAAAGAGACATTTTGATTAACTAAATTTCTAAACATTTAACTTTTGAACAAGGTTCATGACATCATGTGATCCACGTAGCTAATTTATAAAACTTTCTTGTTTTTAAAATTAGGATAGAAATTTTCATTTTACAAAGACATGGTTTGTGAATGACCATCATTAATTGTTTGTAAATTTGAAAATGTATTTTTTATTCTTTTAGATAAAAAAATATTTTATGTTTGAAAATAAAATGTAATGTAATTCACATGCTCAAGGTATAAAATAATATAACTAAACTAATACCCTGATAATTTTATAACATATAAACTATAGAATAATTTATCTTAAAATTAAAGAAAATATTTGCTTATTTTAATTTAAAAATAAAATAAAAATACTAGAAAATTATATACATGAACCTGAGATACACAGAAGAAGGAAAATTTACCCAACGCTATTTATTTATTATTATTTGATCATTCTAGGCCGTAGAATGCAGCATAGTCTCACACTAGTCCATATAGATTTATAAATTTGGCTTGGAAGTTAATTCAATACAATATAATGCAAATAGAGAAATAAGGTTATCCAGCAGCTAAGAAAACTGATCACGTTGCCATTTATGAGCCAAGTTATCAAACCCAAACTAAAACTACCAGGTTCATATTTCAATAAAAATAAGTCACAGCATAAGCTTTCTTGTTAGAATCTCTCATATCTTTCTCCAAGCTACAAAATAAAATTATAGATTTGTCTTAAATATTCTACTCAAACTTCAATAAAATAGAAATTATCACCGCTAAACTATTTAGCCTAAAATTAAATGACTTAAATTATAATTTAAGCTTAAGTACAAATTCAAATTTTAGAAGGCCTTGGATGGGTATGTTATGAAAAATATAACATCCCAGTACCATTTGTCAAATGACCCAAAGACAGCTATTCCAACCCAATATCTCACCTGCAAACTTAAGATTGCATACTTTTAGACCTGAAATGTGACACGATTTTTAACCTGAATCTAATCAACTTGGAAACCGTACCAAATCAACCCACTCTACTTTCTTTTGGCCATATTATTACTATTATTTGTCAATCCAATCAGTGCAGTAGCTCACTTATCATCTTGACACCCTTCTTTTTATATTATTATTTCTTGAAACAGAATTTTCTGCAACTCAAAATGAACTGCACAATCCTGCAGCTCCAATTATCATTTAATACACACACACAAAAAAAATGTTTCACCAACCATGCAGTTTGAGGAGCAACAAATAGAAATTTAACAAGAAAAAGGTGAAGAGAATTGTCACCATAAAGAAGAGAAAAACAACGAAAAAGAAGGGAGATGGAAAAAAAGAAAAAGGCACAGGAGCAAACATTGGTAAATTCGAGTTCTTATTGACCCTTAACGATTTCATTTCCGTAGTTCTTAGTGAATTTAATATGCTTTTATACTTATAAAATTGATGAACACGATGCATGGACCATTGCCGCTTTATCCCTTTATTGGGTTGGTTCCTTATATCACAAAGCTCAAATACATCAGTGGCCTGAACATCATTGGTGGTTTCTAATCTATGGTTTTCTTGAAAGAAATCTACGCACAATACTCAGTGGATTGAGTAATTAGTGATACACACACAACGTGTTAAAAAAACTAAAGAAAAAACAACTTCACAATATACAATTACGGGATATAAAAGGATAAACAGCGCACAAGATGAATAAAAATAAGAAGAAACTGATTAGAATGAGTGACTAAAAAGTTTCCTAGGAAGTTTGAATCGCACCCTGCTAATCCTTCTTGGGATCAATCTTTTTACCAGAATTGTACCGTCCAAGAAAAGTGGAATTACTGAGGAGAAGGAGATGAATAGCACTAGCAGGAGAAAAAAAGAATGAGGTGTACTCGTCCAACGAAATGAGCTTCCGAGAAATGATCTCTCAGAACTTCCCCAAGCTCCCCAAATTTCCCATTCCCAACACTTTGAGCATAAGGTTTTCACTTGCATAGTTCACCCAGAATGAGAAAAGAGTCCAATTGTCAGTATGAAATTACAAGGCTTATTATCTCATTTGAATTATTTTATTCTAAAATTCTAGTTAATTTTAAAATATTTTTATTTTTGTTGAGCCCAAGAATAACAAACCATGAAACTCAACTGTATTAAAACATTTCCAGATCATGTGCAAGGCAATTGATTTTTATTCAAAAATTGTGCGACATAGCTTTACTAGGATTCTTGTTTGAACTATTGATCTTATTAAGAATTTTGATGAAATCTTGTGACGATCTTATAAGCTTATCAAACTAGGTTTAAGTTTATGGTTCATTTTTTGCTGTTTACTCCATTCAATTTATATTTAATTTACCTATTTCATTCTATCCCAATTTTTTTTTCTTACGGTTCATAACCCCTTAATCCAAAATTCTAGATTTTTGTCCTAAATAATTTTTTATCATATATTTTGTTATACACATTATTTTTCCATGATTCTTATGCTAAAATTGCATTTCAGATTGAGAGCATTCATCTCATTTTGGAATAGTATCTTTCTTAATAGAATGAGTTTAGGATCAAGTTTTAGTTAGATTTGAATTCGGGAGATTTGGGGTAAACCTTAGCACGTGAGCCTTAATCAATTAAGGACATGCTGCCAATTATAGAGTTTTGAAAACTTTCTAATTGATTAAGTAAATTGTCCTAATCAATTAGGGCATGTCTTGCCCATTAATAATCAAACACGTAATCAAAGAAATTGATTAGGTGCAAAAAGAGTAGTGGATTAAGTTAATTTTGTAGTATCATTTCAAAAGAACTAAAATTTCAATTAATTTGGTTTTAAAAGCATTTTGCTTATACTTTATAAACCATGTTGATGCAAACAAATCCTAGGCAAGAAATCAATTGAACATGAGTGATAAAACATTTTTGTGAGCTCATCAATAATTATACAATCTTATTATATTTACTAAAGATAGTCACGAACCTTTAACTATATATTCTCTCTTAGAATCTTGACTAAAATCATTCATCATCAATTCATATTTTCATTTGTTTCTATTGTTCATTTTTTCTATTTGCCAAACGGACGCGTGTTTGTCATGTTCTAACTAAAACAATAACCGGTCCAAGTTTAATAATATCGATAAAAAAAAGTCATTTCAGGCACTGGTAGCGGAGGTAGCCAATTCAACACGTTTTAATCCTTGCCTTAACTTTTAATTTCATCATCATATCTAATGACTAATTTATGATTGCCACTGGTTGACGAGTTATCTCTTGTTACGGCAAGTGCCACCAAGAAAACCCAACATTTGAAGGATCTAAAATGGTACAATGGGGCTTAAATATTTGTATAATACACTTAGTTCATACAAGATTAGACAAATCGACAGTAAGCTATCCTATATTGCACCAACTTAAACCGTTTAAAGAAATATGAGAAATGACACATGATAAAGGAAAAAGATACTCGCAAATTAGATAAACTGAATTTTTTCTTCCTTGTCATCTCAAGGAAAGTGACACGAGACGAGTTTTTACCATATAGGGATGAGAATGGGGGAGTGCAAAAATTAACCACCACTAAATTATATAAATGATATCAAGACTAAAAATAACTTAAAGATCACCCAATCTGTTAATAAAATCACATAAGTTTGTTGACACAATTGATCCTAAGCCCGAATATATATGGTCACAGTTGTGTTAGGCAATAAATGGCGAACATTGTAAAATCTCTATGACATGGATAACAAGGTGGCAGTTAAAGCTAGGTTGTTGCTTAAAAGAATTAAAGAAATAAAAAGGATTGACATTTGGTCTTCATTGATTTGGAAGGTGTACCAGAGTTATTGTAAATAGGCCAATAAAAGGAAGCAATTCATATATGCAATGGACTTAAAAGGAATTAATCAATTAGCGAAATAGTTGAGCTAGCACATAATATAGAAAGAATGGTAAAATCTCACCATAGGTGATTTGAACATGTGACGAAAAGACTTGTAAAAGTTTTAGCAAGGAGAGTAGATCAGATGGAGGTTAGTCCAAGGACTAAAGGTAAAAAATGGAGACCGAAGGAAACTACAGGCAAAACAATTAAGAAAATTAAGCAGTCAATAGTTTACCCATAAACATAATTTATGACAAAACATTATGACATCGTAGGATTCACATAGCTAACCCCACCAATGGGAAAAGGTTTGGCTCTTAGCCAAGTGTATTGTTGGCAGATTAATGAGTTTAGAAACACCAAGAGCAGAAACACTCCTAGTTCAATCCCATGCATAAGCAGTCAATGAATATTCTCATGATCTTTTATCATTTCGGGCAGCTGCTTCAGCAGGAGTGCAAGTAGTCATCTGATCAACCGCATGAACTACACTCTGAAGCTCCTCCCATATAGCTTTATAAACCATCCTTTGCCTATTAACGGCTGATTGTCCCTCAAAGGCTACTGATACAACATCAATGCTGCAACACCAAACCACATGTTAGAGCTATGTCCCAGCAAAGCTATGCAGTCTAAGTGCCAACTACTAGCAGAAAAAATGGCACAGCTTCAAGGAAAACCTCTGTCAAAGAGGATATAAAAACCGTCCAGAAATGTTTCAATTATCAATTTGCACCGAGATTTTTTAAATGGCATTCAGTTTCATCATCAAACTTTGAAGAACAATGAATATGCAGCTGATTTGGGAGGAAGAGACACAACCTCTAATCTAGGAACAAACATTGAGGTGAAACTATAATTTGAAGAGAAGATACTTTTGGGAGATATTACTATTTGCTGTGTCAATTCAAATGGTCAGCTATGAAACATTTTCACTAAATCAAACTTGAGGGGAAGTGTTGAAACTCTAACGTGCAATCTATGCTATCATTTTGTACATTTGGTTGAGGCGTAATGTCATAGATTTAAAGATGCTTCAATGGCTAACACTTGTGATAAGATTATGCAATTGACTTTCAGTTGGAGCAAAACTTGCTCCAATGATGTTTTCGCTTTTTCTTTGTTGTTTTGTTTTCCCTTTTTTGATATGGACGATCTCCCCGACCTCCAAATTCCTTGTACTTCTCTTATCTTCTTTGCACGATATCAACTGTGACTTTGTATGGTCAGAGGAGGACCAATTGCTAGACAAAGTCTCAACAAACCAATCATTTAGAAGGTTTACGGCAGAAGAAACTGCCATGTAGGGCAATTACTGTGAGAGGCAAGAGTTTAGTATCTGCTGAGTGGAGCAGTTGAGGAGGGTCAGCTATTTTCCTATCTACATTTGTTTCTAATTATATGCTGTCATGTCAGTTATGTTTCTATCTAAATATATGTTGTAATTTCAGTTATGTCATGTAAATCTATGCTGTAAGGAAGGGTAGTAGAGAGGTATGTGTGAAGTTTATACAGTTCTAGAGCGGAGAAATATTCTCTGTAGAGCCTTGGCTCTAGATTTGTTCTTGAACAATGTGTTGTCTGAATTTAATAAAATTCCCCTTCAATTCAGAACCAGTATTCAATCAGAATTTATTTTCCTATAAAAAGTTTCTAAATAGCTAAATTATTAGTTGTACTAACAGCTGTACTCTCCAAGTATTAGAGCTGTAGAATTGGTATATATATGACACTAGTTCAAGAGACTTGTGCTTTAAAACCTTATGTTTTCTCTCTATTCCTCCTACTCTTTACAGAATGTTTATACTGTCCAGGGTGAGATTATAAACAAATTGTGTCAAGCAAAAAATGCAGGAAGAAATAAGATAAAGAGGCTATTTGGGAATACAAATTTGATGGCAAATCTCATTTTGGAGAATAGAAGATGGCATATGATGATATGATAAATCATGAATTGTCAGTAAGAACAACATTGCACCAAAAACAAAGTGCAACATGTTGATGAAAGGAGCAAAGAGAAAGCAGCCTCAATTAGATGATGATTTTCATACTCAATGCCCTGTTTTGTTGGAGCAAGCACATTCACCTGTGCAGATATACAAGCTTTAAAATGAACCACAATCCGCACACCTTGTAGGAAGTAAAAGAAGAAGCAGTAAAAAGCATTGGAAAGAAAAGGTACAGACATTACTATTAAATATTTTTCCCTTGTTTGATGCCCTTGGAAATAGAGATAAGGGTGGCAGAAATGGGAAGGTGACAATGAGAAGAATGCAAAAGCAAGGACAATAGTTGTTATAAGGTGAATTGAATAGATGTATTTTAAATTTTAAATTTGAGCCTAACCCAACTTGAAAAACCCATGGTGCAACCCAAGAAGGAATTTTCATGGTTTATCATGGAAGTGGAGGTATCAGCATATTGTCCTGCAATTATAACTCATGAATCAAGACCAATTTTAGATGAGTGAGCGGGTGAAGTCCCTGCTTCTTCAAAGACTTCGCCAACAAACATGGATTTGCTCTAGTGCTCAGCTCATGATCTGTTTTAAGTGAGTTCACGTTTCTGATAGTGAGATTAAATAGATTTATTACTTTATTGCACGTTTAACCTCTTAGCACGCTGTTGTCACTCAGTTTCTCTAATTCGGAGAATATCTCATCCTTCCCCCCAACTTGTGTTTTCTCTCTAATAGAAAGAATTTATTTTAATCAAATACCAAGACACAAAATCTGTAAGCATACAACAAGGTTAATTATCCCTGGAATGTCATAGCTAGTGATATGCCATGATATACAAAGCTTAAAAGCCTCACTTTCTGTCATCCATCAGAAAGTGACCATGAAACTAAATAACATTTTGATCTTAATAAAACAAACAGAACAATCTATAAGGCGGGAAAAACTGTCAGAAGGATCAATGATTCTTCATTCTTTAAGTGGGCTTGTATGATTCTGCCAAAACTTGTTCTTGTTACAAGAATTACTTCCGTATATTCAACAAATTGTGGCCTCGTGTAAAGTTCAACACAGATACTATATACATTAAAATTTGTGAAACCAAATTTCATTTCAACGGTTAAGAAAATTCTGACCTAACATGCCGACCATCACCATAAGCATCCTTAACAGTGACTGATTCTGCATTGAGTTGCTCCTTTATCTGTTTGGGCACGATGCATATTGACATTTAAAAAGGTGAGCAAGAAATTATACACCAAAGCAAGAAAAGAAAAAACAATTGGGGGAGAAAATACTACTTAAACTCCAACTATTTTTGACAAATTAGAACAATCATGAAAGAGAAGCAACCAAATCATTAAACTTGTGTCGGAAATGATTCCATCTATGTTCTGAATTTCAAAATATATCGTTCTTATTGTAAATTCAGGGCTACAAGGACAAGTAATTTTTTTATAACAGCAAGAAATGAAACGACACCTTTTTCTGCATGGACTGGATAAGAGGCGAGTCGATAGAGCCAGCATCGTTGACATGGGTGGCACGTGAATTAAACTTGCGAAGAGAATGCGTGGTGAATAATTTGTGGGGTCTAAGAAAAGCACTATTGCATAGGAGAGTTTGTGAATTAGATGTGGATCTAAGGAGCAATACAGTTCGAGAGAGAATGGGTTTGTAGGGTTTAACCAAAACTGGAAGAGTTTGTCGCAGAAAGGTAGTGTTGGCTGAGAGTGAAAACACCTGAGAGCGCATTTCTTTGGTTTTGCTTTGATCTCTACGCTGCTTCTTCTTACCCTGTTTTCACTTTTTGGTTTTCAACGCTTTTTTCTTGGAAATGGATAGGGTAACCGTGCGGTGCCGCAACCCTCCACCAAGCTTTATGATTTTATTTTATTTTTTGGGAAACCAAGCTTTGCGTTTGTTGTGTGTATTGTGTAGCTTATAGATCTGGTTTTATTTTTCTGATTTAAACATGTTTTTAGAATATATTTTACTAAAATATGATGTTTTAAAAAAAATTAAGAAAATATAATATTTTTAAAAATAAATTGTGTGCGACGAGGTTAATGACGTTTTTGGTACTTAAAAAATGTTTATTAAATTTTTAAAATAGTTACTGGTGATTTTTTTTTTTTTAAATTATTATTTTTTAAAAAATATGAGTTTTGACTTTTTATATTTTTAATATTTTTTGAAAAATCGCTATTGACTATTTTTGAATTTTATATTTTTATAATTTTTTAAAAAATACTATATTTTTGTATGTATAATTTAAAATTCCATATATAAATAAATAACATGCGCCAGTGTCAGTAATTCTGACTTAAAAATAAAAAATTGATAAAAACATAGGTATTAAAATTAAAAAACTTCATTCAAAAAGATTAAAATTAAAAATTTGTTAAAATGCAGAGATTGAAAATATATTTAAATTTATTTTATTTTTCTTACTATTTGCTTGGTTGAAATTGTTTTGAAAAATAATTATTAATCTGAATTATTTAAAAGAATTTTTAAAATAAACAGGTTATTTATTAACAAGACTGTGATAACTTGGCATTTTTAAGAAGGACGAAAGGGCCAAATAAACCACCTACAGAACAAAATTCTGTAACTGTAAGCTAAATAAGCTAAGAAAACTGAAATTGGAACATCAGGGAACTCATGAAGACCATAAGCAACACCATTGTGCCCCAAAGGGAAAGCTTGTGTTTGTGGCCGTTCATCAAATGTATGAGTTTGAATTTATAGATAATTCTTTATAAGAAAAAATAATATAAAAAATAAATTTTTTTATAAATTAAAAAGATTTTATTTCATCAAATTTTAAAAAATTTAAATATAATTAATTTTAAAAAAATAAAAGATTATAAATTAATCTTAACTTTTAGAAAAAAATTATTTTTTTATTTTACAAAAATTTATCTATAAGCTCGTTTAAACAGAATTATACGTTAAGTAAAAGTTAAACAAAAAGTATATCATTGAATTGCAAGAAAGGGAGGAGTGTAATCAGAAAAATACGTATAACGACAAAAAAAAAAGAATAAAATAGTCTTAAAGAGATATTTGAGTGGAGTAAGTTAAAAGTCTCGCATATGACACGTGATATGTTTAAATCTTCACTTATTTTTTGAATGAGGTAAATGTAAGTATGTAACTCATCTGTGAGTGCTCGTTCTTTAAGATCAGCAATTTTACTTGCCATTCAACGAGGTACCGATACATTTCTCTAAAAATTTGTAAAAAATATAAAAAAATAATAATAAAATGGATAAAACGATTTATTGAATTCATTCAAAAAAAAGTTTGTGTATTTTTTTAAGTGAAAAAAATAAAAAAAAATGATTAATTTGTTATGAGAAAATAGGTATATGCAAAAGATAAAAATATTTAATTAGAGATAATAATAAAGAAAAACATATGATTAGTCTTATGAAGTTACACGTATTAATTTTATTTTTTTTAGGTAAACAAAAAAAGGAACAAAGAAACAAAACCTTGAATAAAAAACTAGAAACGAATAAATACAGCACTAGCTGCGTCAACTTCTAACAATTTACGAAGATCTTGTGAAGAAAGATGTCAATTTCGAAGGAGTTTTTCTTGGTTCACTCCAAGTTTAGCCATTGCATTAGCACAATGATTTCCTTCACAAAAGATATATAGAATTTTCACGTGCAACTGTCTTGCTTTTAAAGCAAAAATGTCTGCTAAGATAACCTCGTACACATGAAAATTATGTTGCATTGAATTAACTAATCTACAAGCTTCCATAGAATCAGTTTCAATAATGACATCCTTGAAGTTTAGCTGCCAAGCAACCATTAGGCATGTTTTAATCCCCGATAGCTCAGCAAAGAGAATGTCAGTATCACCAAAATGCCCTGAGAATCCATGCACCCAATCTCCATGTTGATTTTGTAATGCTCCACCATAACCTGCACTCTTGGGATTTCCTCTGCAGCTCCTATCAACATTAACCTTGAATTTGTTAGAAATGGGTTTGATCCAACCAATTTCCCTGGGCCGCCTCACTTGGTGTTGAGTATGCAATCCAAAAACCAAATTCATGTCTTGCACAGTGGTACCAATGAAGGATAAAATGCTAAGAATGTTCCAAGAATTATCTTCGGGAACTATATCATTCTGCCAAGACTACCACAGGGTAGCTAAGAAAAGGGGACTAAAATCCTTCCTTAGAAAGTGCTCATACCAAGTTTTCATATCACTACAATTAAAATTTATCAAACTAGATAAACTAACATTGCTCCAAATATGCTTAATAGAAGGACAATCTCTAAGACAATCCAGTATGTCTTCTATTTCACCTATACACCTTGAGCACCCAGGGGAGAAAGCCAAATGCCTAGCATGAAGGAACACCTTAGTTGGAAAAGTCTCGTGCAAACAAAGCTAAACGAAGAAAACCATTTTGGCTGGAGCTCTAATCCTCCAAATCCAGCTCCACGAATCCATTGCAACCATAGCTGGGTGGTGATTCAACCACTTATACCCACTTGTGGCAGTGTAAATCCTCAAGCAATTATCTTTCCAAATCCAACAGTCGTTGCAAGTACTAAAAGAGGGGATAGGAATTTGAGAAATCTCATTTTGCAAATGTTGTGGCAAGGTAGTGGCAATCCTTTGAAAATTCCACTTGTCATCCTCTCAAAGATCACAGACTCTCAAGTCAAAGTCAATAATGTGTACATAATCAACCTCATGAAAAGCTTACTAATACCAATCCAATGGTCATATCAAAAAGATACATTCTCCATGTCCATTTGAAACATAAAACCATCTTTGAGATGATCTACCACTTTTAAAATTCCCTGCCAAACATAAGAACAATTCCTCTAAGGACAAGACAGACATATAGAGTTCTACCCAAGTATTTCGCAATCCTCACTTCTGAGCTCAACTTAGAAGGACGATTAAGAATATTCCAAAACAACTTCCCAAGAAGAGCCACATTAGCTTTCCTGTTATTTCTAATTCCTAAACCACCCAGTTTTTTAAGCATCATCATTGTAGACCACTTAACAAGATGAATGCCTCTAGAATTGTCATTTTTGCCCTAGAGAAATCCTCTAGTCAGCTTGTCAATATCAGGCAACCAAAGAGACTACATAGTATAAGTGGACATGGAAGATACCATTGATTGTGCAAGACAAAGCTTGCCCGCTCTATTCAATAATTTGCTCTTCTAAGAGGCTAGCTTGGTAGAGATCTTCTCAACAATTGGATTAAAGGTAGCTCTCTTGACCCTTCCCTTTAAGATAGATACTCCTAAATATTTACCTAAGTCTGAGACAAAGCGGATGGTAGAGAGACTGTGGATAGCTTCCTTTTTTCCCCTACTGATATTGGGAGAGCACATAGCACGAGACTTATCTAGACTAACTTTCAAACCTGACATTTTACAAAAACTCTCAAGTGTCTCATCACAACTCAAACTTGAGACTTCTTAGCTTTGCAGAATAATAAGACATCATTTGCGAAAAAGAGATGAGAGATAGTTGGTCCTTGATTTGTCAGTACAATTCCTTGTTATCTACCATCTTCAACTTGCATTTGAATCATCCTGGCGAGCTTCTCCATACAAAGGACAAACAAATAAGGGGATAGCGGATCTCCCTGATGCAGACTTCTAGAAGGATGAAAGCTATCTAACCTTAATCCATTCTAGAGAATAGACAAATTAGAAGCCGCAACATAGTTAATAATGAGATTGATTATTACCTGGGGAAACCTAATGAATCCACATTTTATTGGATTTTTACTTGTCTTTTTAGTGTTCCTTGATAGAAAAAGTAGACTTAGGAAGTGTAAATAACATAGAAACATCATTTTGGTCAAATATCATAGGTTTCTTAATTTTTGGTTAATTTATATTGATTTACATAGATATAATTTACAATTTTGATCATTTGAATAATTGTGCAAGAATTTTTAAGCTTATTCCATGGATTTTTAGCCTTTTAGAAAATTTGAGATTGAAAGTGACCACTGTCAGAAATGATAGTGGACACTATAGCAAGTTAGATCCAAAGGGCAGATCAAATTGATCACTTTCAGAGTGATAATGGACACTACAGAGAGCCCAGACTGAAGAGGGCCTGCGCATAACTACTTTGAAATTCATAATAGACACTCCAGAGAGGGCCAAATTGATCCAGTACTACGCGTAGCCACTTCTATTTCCATAGTAGTTACGCATGCTGCGCGTAGACACTTTAAATTCCATAGTGGACACTCCAGAGAGGGATGACAAGATGGGAGGCTGCACATAGCTACTATGACTTCCATAGTAGCTACTATAGGTGACGACCACTGCACTATAAATAGAATTTTAGAAATTAGGATTGAGGATCTTTTTTACACTTCTAGATTTTTGCCATTTTGGAAACACTTGCAGAGCTTAGGTCAACCTTGTGTGACAGCCAAGGACTCAACCTAGAATTTGATTCATATTTTTTTTTACTTTCCTTTGATTTTACATCCATGTCATTGAATTCTCTTTATTTTTCTCTTGTATTCATGAAACTCATCCTCATAGAGGGCTAGATCTTTTGTAATCCTTAATGAGTTCACTTGAATTCTTGAATTCCTAGCTTATAAATGTTAATATAATTCATTTTCCTTCATAAATTTCCTTTTCTCAATCCTTTGAATTGAATTAATGGTTGAATAAGGGGGACATTGCTTAATTAACCCTAATTCATTTTAGTGAGATTCTTAACTTGGATTGCTTAATTCTAAGTTAATTTCTAAGGTTATGTAATCTTAGGAAAAGAGGTTGGAGTCCATTACATTTGCTTAAATTCGTATGGGATTTTGAGATTGATTCTCGCTTGTTGAAATAATCTAATTCAAAGGAACAGGAAGAGTGTTAAATATTGAGAGGAATA